AAAATGTCCTCTTAGAGGAAATTATCGAGTGCAAAGGGTTATGAACATTTTCAAAATTTTCTTGAAATATCTATTGATTTTTATGAAGATAACGTGTATATTTATCTAGGTCTTATTGTTCAGTTGTTCTTATTACAATTTTATATTTAACTTTAAAGTAAGTAAACATTACTCTGGTGGATTTTATGTTAACTCAATTGTAAATAGGGAAAAATGTACCCAGATGTATCGTGGACATGGATTGTCAGCTCTTTTTCTCTGGGAAAAACTATGACCAAACTTTGCGACTAACTGTAATAAAAAATATATTGAATTGGCTAAAAATTATGTTAGTAGATGATATAAATTTTGCTCGCGTAACCTAAGATGACTTATGAAGTTTAAATTTGTCAATTCAAATTTTACCATAGAAAAATGATAAAAAATTGTGGAATTTTGTTGGGGTATCAGAAATGTGGTACCTTCATGTAGTATATCTTCTTTAAGCAGCATACGATAGCATGACACTAAATACTATTATACTAATTATACTATTATTACAATACTATTATACTATAAAGTATAATACGATACCTTACACACATTAATTATAAACGTTTTAATAATTATTTTGAAGATTGATTTTGTGATAGTACTTGAAACAATTAACACAACGATTAACATCAAAATGAAGTTCCCAGCAAATTTCTAATTCTTAATTACAGAAATTATTAAGCTTTTGTCAAAATACACATGTAGTAACATTTGTTCAGATAAAAAACCACTGCACACATTAAATATTTAGTTTCTGATAGTACTTTTGTATAGAACTATTACAATGATTCTTTACGTACAAATGACACAGTTATCCTTGATATTACAGCAATAAACAGACGTACAGTCGACGTTAATGAATTATGTACTCGATAACGTCTGATAACTACTCAAGCAACAAATTTTCGATGTACTAACTAAAGAAAAAGGAGTGCACTTATCTTCCTCGAAGAGCAACAATACTCGTGATACACTTTTACTTTGTGAACGTCATCGGGTGAATGAAAGAATCGTGGTTCGATAACTGGACGTAATAACAATGAACATATGAAGTCATTCGAAGAACTTAAAAATTAAAGATATATAGAGAATATCATTGTAATTTTCTCTGTGTGTACAGTGACGGGCTTACGTATTTTGTTGCCTCCTGCAACAAATAGTATATTTGTTAATAGAAAAGTTTTGTACACTGATGCTTAGCTGAAGTGTAACGTGTTTGTTTGCAAATTGTGTGTAGTAGTAGCGGTCGATCATAAATTACTAAGTTTCTAAATTTATAAATTCGTAAATTTTCAAATTTCCAAATTTTTAAATTTCTAAATTTCTAAATTCCTAAATTTCAAAATCTCCAAATTTCAGAATTTCTAAATTTTCAAATTTCCAATTTTCAGGTAGTCAAGTTTTAAAATCCTCAAATACCCAAATTTCCCTAACTTTCAGATTTTTATATTTCCAAAATTACAAATTTAAAAATTTCTAAACTTCAAAATTTCCAAATTTCTAGATTTATATATTCCCAAATTTTTATATTCTTAGGTTCCTAGATTACTAGATTCTTGGATTCCTGGATCCCTAGATCCATAGATCCATAGATCCATAGATCCCTAGATCCCTAGATTCTTAAATTATTAGATCATTAGATTTGTAAATTCCTAGATTTGTAGATTCTTAAATTTTTAGATTCCTAGATTCCTAAATCGCTAGATTCCTAGATTCCTAGATTCCTAGAACTCTAGATCCCTAGATCCCTAGATCCTTAAATTATTAGATCATTAGATTTATAGATTCCTAGATTTCTAGATTCTTAAATTATTAGATCATTAGATTTATAGATTCCTAGATTTCTAAATTCTTAAATTTTTAGATTCCTAGATTCTTAAATTTTTAGATTCCTAGATTCCTAAATTCCTAGATTCCTAGATTCCTAGATTCCTAGATTCCTAGATTCCTAGATTCCTAGATCCCTAGATAACTAGATCCCTAGATCCCTAGATTCCTAGATCCCTAGATTCCTACATTATTAGATTATAAGATTATTAGATTTGTAGATTCCTAGATTTCTAGATGCCTTAATTTTTAGATTCTTAGGTTCCTAGGTTCCTAGATTCCTAAATACTTAAATTCCTAGATTTATAAATGTCTAAAGTCCTACATCGCTAAATAACTAAATTTCTAAAATTCAAAACTCCCACATATCTAAACAAGTATGACCCGAGTACCTAAACACCAGAATTCATAATACTCCAAATTCCCAATTTCCCCAAATCCCGTTGCTCACACCCTCTCATTACTATACCGATTTTACCTAATCTCCAATATCGTTTCTTCCCAAGTGCACTTCAGTTTTTCGTTATTTATCACTCTCCTAAAGTTCTTCCTCCATTAAAAAAACGTCAGAGCTCAGTAAATACCTTTCGCAATTGGGATAATTCGTCTCCATAAAATGTAGGACGTTCAGTAATCTTTGTTTACGTGTCATTTGTAAGTATGTATAGTGATGACGATGGTTGAATTCTACTCAGTCTAGTCGGTTGCGATAAACTGCTGACACGTGATACGCTCCTTGACATAGTAACGAAATGTGATCGTTTTTATTAACAGATTCCGGAAACGCTAAAAGAGTTCGATGCTTGGTCAATAAATTGCTCGATCGCATGACAAATAGGAAGCTGAACCGAAATTCGTTTGTTTTGCGCAAGAATAGCGTCATTTTCATTGGCAAATGTTTGATAAGCATTACAATAATATTTGCAAGATAACAATCGGTGTTATGAAACGTAGAAAACTTTCTGGAACTTTGTTTTTAATGTGGTCATAATGAAACAGTGATGTCGATATTGTATGATATGATAAATTGCCATTTTTCACTGTTTTTTGTAAATGTAAGCGTAGTCATCGAAGGCAGCGATTCTGCCTTAGAGGTTGACCTTAATGCAATGTTGCAAAAAGGAATCATAATGATTCAGAAGGGGAAGGTCGCCTAAAAGTATCGTCAATGTGTATAGGAAATGGCGAAATATACAATTTTATATGGTGTGTGAGGGATCTTTAAAGTTATTGAAGGAAAATGATGCTGGAAGGATTATTAGATATTTTTATCGGAATTTCAGATGGAGGAGATATGCATATACGTACACAGCTGAAAACTATAATAGAATTTTATTTTCTGATTCCAACTAAATTCGTTGATCAAAATGATATTCAATGTTGCACTTCAATTTATTATATTAAACTAGTATATTTAACTTCAATTTGTTATGTTAAATTAGTACATTTCACTACAATTTGTTATGTTACATTAGTACATTTAACCTCAATATATTATATTAACACTTTGCCCTAGAATATCGCGTCACACTCGTGACGCACCTTGTAGTTCATGCATGACAAATCTGACTCATAATTTCGTAACTGAATTTTGCGTTCAATTCTGATTATATTCTTTACAATCAATCATCATTGAATACATAACGTGATTAACTTTCAATTTTCTTTATTTGTCTTCAAGTTGTAGCAAAAATTAGTGAACTGTGAATGACACAATTGCCTTCCAAAGTTTAAGTTAAGGGGTTAAGTTAGTACATCCAACTTCAATTTGTTCTGTTAAACTAATATATTCAACTTCAACTTATTATATTAAATTAGTACATACAATTTTAATTTGTTATTTTTAACTTGTATATTCAAATTCAATTTGTTATGTTAAATTAGTACATTTAACTCCAATTTGTTATGTTATATTAGTACATTTAACTTCAATCTATTATATTAAATTAGTACATCCAACTTGAGTTTGTTATATTAAACTTGTATATTCAAATTCGATTTGTTATATTAAACTAGTGTATTCAAGTTCAATTTGATATGTTAAACTTATACATTGAACTTCATTTTATTACATTAAATTAATACATCCAACTTCAATTTGTTATATTAAACTTGTACATTTAACTTGAATTTATCATATTAAATTAGTACATCCAACTTCAATTTGTTATATTAAACTTGTACATTTAACTTGAATTTATCATATTAAATTAGTACATCCAACTTCAATTTGTTATATTAAACTTGTACATTTAACTTGAATTTATCATATTAAATTAGTACATCCAACTTGAATTTGTTATATTAAACTTGTATATTCAAATTCGATTTGTTATATTAAACTAGTGTATTCAAGTTCAATTTGATATGTAAAACTTGTACACTGAACTTCATTTTATTACATTAAATTAATACATCCAACTTCAATTTGTTATATTAAACTTGTACATTTAACTTGAATTTATCATATTAAATTAGTACATCCAACTTCAATTTGTTATATTAAACTAGTACATCCATCTTCAATTTGTTATATTCAACTACTATATCCAGCTTGTAGAAATCAAATTTCAAAGTTTTTTGCATAAAAGATTATTTTAGTCCTTTCAAATTCTATTATATTATTATATTGTGGACGTATCACTTTATTCTACGTATATTCGTTATGTTGTAAATTAATAGATTAAGTGTTGATTTAAGCATCTAATGTACGTAACCAGAAGGTCATAGAAGATAAGGGCAAATACTTTGACCATTGAATTGTACTTCATACACGGTGTTCACGTTTTTCTTGTAAACATGTGAAAAAAATGGAACATGTTTTATTTACTGCTTTACTAACTTTTCGCATTCAACATAAGATACAATTTTTTATATTTGCAACATTCTTCGAGAAATATAACCTTCAATTTTCTGAATGGATATTGTTCTTTGCACGAATCGATTTTTTGGAATAATTCGCTGAAAAGGGTATTCAGGTATAATGAAAAATACAAATGATGTTATAACGTTAAAAATAAATTAAAGATTCATGAGATATTTTAATAATGAAATATTTCATACAAAAATTGATAACATCATATCACTTTTTTTACTTATACTTTTTTACGCGGAATATTCCAAAGAATCATGCAAACAAAATACAATTTTCCTAAGACAATTAAACTATGCACTCCTTCAAACTTATTACAAAAATAAGAAAATTTCATTACGTTGATCATGAGAAGATAGTAAAATTTCTTCTTCCTTATTTTTTCCAAAATATTCATAACTGCTGCCGTTGCCATAAACACCCCAAATAGCATAGCATAAATAAAATACAAAAATAAAATTTTCACAAAAATATTGAAACCACCCCATATTCCTAATTTAAAAATCTTTAAACATCATTTAAGTATCCACAATTACAAGCAAAATGAAAACTAGAATTTTCCAAGTACACTTGTTCACTCAAAACCTAAAAAATCTTTATTTCGATAACACGATATTTTTCCACTGATATTTCGTACACGATTATGGTTATTTGCTGGGTATGCTACGGTTGCAATATTGCTAAAGGTTAAAGAAAGCATCATTATCCATTAAATTATGCACATATTACTTATTGCGCATATGAAGCTCGATAACATAAATCATAAGTCAGTTAATGTTATTTTATATTATCTGCGGTACTCTTGCATTTTGTAATCACTCTATCAACGTAATTAGCATTGCGATTATGCAAGTTGATATATCAAACGATAATAGATCAAATTATTATTAATTTTAAATTAAAAGTACAGTATTCCATTTGGTGTTCCATGGTTGATTTAGGTAAAGGCAATTAACTTTAATAGGTTGACTAATAAGTTGAAAATACAATTGTTGCAACGTTTGATATTTAACGTTTAATTATTCATTCAACTTTATTGCAGAACAAATCTCCCCCGAGAAATAATGCAAATACCTGATTTTCCAATGAAGCATGATGAAGGGCCGTCGTTTGTTCATCACAGCGTGATTCGAGAGTACCTCGGGGATTATGCAAAACATTTTAACCTGTACCCTCATATAAAGGTAAAATTTAATCTAAAATTCAATTCAAACGTATACAGATAAAATTAAAATTTCTGTGCAATTTTCATAAAAAATAAGATGCTAGAACTTATTTTTTAAAGTTGTGCCACAATAAGTAAATTTGAAATTTAGAAATTTGGGATTTGGAAATTTAAAGGTTTAAGGTTTCAAGTTTTACCCTTTGTATAGTTGAAACTTTGGTTTTTTCAAAAATTTGAAATTCGAAAATTTGAGCAGTTGGAAGTTTAAAAATCTGGGAATTTGTGCAGTTCAAAATTTGGGAATATAAGAATTTAAAATTGTGAGGTTTGCGCTATTAGAAATTCATGAATTTAGGAATTTTAGGGATTTAGAGACTTAGGGATTTAAGGGTTTGGGGATTTAGGGGTTTAGGGATTTAGGGATTTAGGGATTTAGGAATTTAGGGATTTAGGGA